AAAAACGCTGTAAAAATTTCCCTTCAATTTCAAGGCAGTAAAACAACGACCTTAACAGGCCAACCTAATATTACCGGCGTGAATTTTTCTACGCACGCACGCAAGTTCTTCACATTTGAGTAACCGAAATAAATTTGCGTGCGTGATTTTTCAGAGTTGCATTTCTGTCCAATTTCAGAAGTTGAGCAAAATTTGAGCATAAATGCAGAATAGCTTCGATTCCCAAATTAAAAAAAACGGACGGGGATCGATAGAGAACATTGAGGTGAGTAAAACGGTATATTTCTTTTCTTGCGGAAACAAAAACTACAAAAGTTATTAAGGGTCAAAGTTCAAATTAAACTATTTTTTAAATAAAAAAATGCTTAAAAACTAATGTATGGATTTTAAAAGGTTTGACCTCAATCGATAGGAAATTTAGTTTCCTTTAATTTGATATACATACTTGATATATGCCTTGTTTAGTTTTCACAAAAATCTAATTAATGTACGCAGAAAGGAATTCCGCTTCCCTTCTGCGGCAACACAGAAAGGAAAATTCTACTTAGGGAGGATTATATTTATATCAAATTAAAGGGAATCAAATTTCCTATCAAATGAGATCAAAATTTTTAAAATCCATGCATTCGTTTTCAAAAAATTTGGATTTAAAGAATTGTTTAATTTGAACTTTGAGTCTTAATAACTATTGTAGTCGTTATTTCCGCAAAAAAAGAAATATACCGTTATACTCTCTTCAATGATCTCTATCGATCCCCATATGTGTTTTTTAATTTGAAAATCGAAGCTATTCTGCATTTTTTCCAAAACTTTAATTCATTGTCGCGCCAAAATGTCATAGAGCACAGACGTCAAATCGAAATGTCACGCAACACAAATCTTGGAATTTGAGTTAGCTTTTTACGCACGCCGGTCAATTTCGGTTGGTCCCATACAAGATGTATATGCATGAGAAATTTTTGGCAGTAAACTGCCGGCGTGCGTGAATATTAGGTTAGCCTGTAAGTTAACATCAACCGAGGCCATATGTTGACAAGGGATGCAAAATCACAGTTACATAAAAGAACTGGTCAGATTTTCCAGAAATCCCTTCAATTCTGATATAAAATATGATGCTAAAAGACTGCAGATCTCCCATTTAGATGACCGGTCATATGGCCGGAAGATGTCTCGTAGAATTCCCAGCGAGTTTTGCTTTACATAAAAATGTGTGCTCTTTTATTTTCATTTTGACTCACTTCAATGTTGGTTCCTTTAATTCAAGTTGGCATTCGGTTTTTGGAATTCGAATAAGTTCTCAGCAAAAACGTTTGTTTAAAAAAATACATATGTGTACATAGTGCTTGAAAATATGAATTTTTCCATTACCTTAAACCTTTGGGAGTGGGCAAAAATTATGTTTTTTAATTTAGGCAAAATTGAATATGCGCTATCTGGGAAGACAATATCTACGTGTAATATTTATTCTGTTTGTTGGCACTATATCCAAACACAAACGCATCTTAAGAGTCTTAACAGTGAAACAATTTCTTATTTTCTAAGTTTGCGAATACAACTTCACACTTAAAATTAAGACATTTATAACAAACATTTTATGAAGAAAAACCCTTCTTCGTTTAAAATAAAAATAAGCGAAATCGGCCCAATTTCATACAATCCTGCCTGACATGAAAATTTTCTCCACGATAAGGCTGGTAGCCATTTCTAACAGATTTTGGGTCGCTTAGTCAAAAATGGAAACATATATACACATTTTAAATTTAAGAAAACAATGCAAATAGAAAAATCGGCTAAAAACGGCTAGTTTTTTTCTGCAACGGCTAACAAATCGGCTGCCGGCTAAATCGAAATTTCTCCGGCTGTTTGCTATCGCAACCGGCTAAATCTAGCCGGAAAACGGCTAAAATGGCAAAACTGCGTGTGAAAGTGCCCAAAGGTACATATGTACGTAAGGCCCTGTCTCCACAGGAAAACACTGATGTCGTGAAAACTATGTCACAAAATATATTTCCAATGGAGACCGCCTATTTCTCATGTGCTGCAATATATGTCAGCGCTTATTGCTTGGCATCTATTGCAGGCAATTCGATAGTTTGACAGCCATATTTTCATTTGAAAGAAAGCGTGCTGGTGGTAACATCGATGAAATTTTTATATTAAATCAAAATAAAAATCTCCTCCCTATTGGATTATTTATGATTACGTTTTAGGAAATTATTCAGCAAGTTTTTTAAAGATTTAAATGTTTTTAAACACCTAAATTGAGAGAATGTTGTCTGGTGGCGTCATGCGGCAAATGCTTATTTCAAGACATCAAAGTGCCCACACACAAAAACTTGCAATCACATTGCTCGTCAAAATGACAGTTGGTAGGCCATCGCTGTTCGCCTGTGGAGTTCTGCGGTAACACTGGATACACACGACGAACATGTGCGCGCACATGTGTGCCAACATGCTCGCTGTCGTTTGCCACTGACGGTGCGCAGCTCAAATGTGATTTTGTTGCGATAACCACAGATCGATTTTGGCTGTTTATGTTTTGTTTATTTAATGCTTATTATTCATTTTCCACAACTGCTAAGCAAATTATATAACAAACAACATATAAATCCACATTTCAAGCTGCGTGCAAAAAATATAAAAAATCTGCCTAGCTTCAGTCAACACTGCATGCAACCCTACATATTGCTGAATGGATTAGCGGCATGTAGCCACCTATCCGTGAAGCTTCTGCTGAAAATTTTCCAGTTTGGTAAATTGTATTTTGATTTTTGTGCTCGTGGTTTGTAATTAAGTTAGTTTATATATAAAAGTAATAATATTAGGTCAATGTTAAATTTATATCGAAATACTGAATGTTTTTTAATAGAACAAACGAAGCTGAATTAGTCGCGTTTGCGCTGAATTGGCATCGGCAACCCGAAGCAGATCGAAAAACGAGTACGAGGGACTCTTATTCCAAATAGTAATTTCAAAATGGCGTCAGTGATTTTTGGTGGTATTTAGTGTCTGTTTAGCGAAGTTTCCGCGGTATTTGTGCAGCTGAAAAGTTAAAAAATTCTGAAAGATAATAAATCTTATGTGATACGCGCTGTTGTTGAAGGATATATATATTTCTAGCAGTTGTGCCTTTTAATTTTCATCTAGTGATAATTCACGTAAAAATGGCGCATGTAACTAAGGAAGCGATGTAACTTTCTTTTTTTACAACTTTTCGATTTTGTGGAGTGCAGTATATGCTTATCTAGAAAACAAGTCGTACAGCGCGTTGTGAATGTTATAACTTGCACTCCTTATTGCAGTGTGACAAGTGGCAAGTGGTACAGTCCGAGGTAGAACACGGCATACATCGTTTTTTATTGCCAGCGTGGGAACATACGGGAAAAACTTCATATATACCTTTTTAATTACCGAAAAATTGAAAAAACTTCACAAAACGTGAGTGTAGCAATTGCTTATAGAGTGAAAAAGGCGGGTAAAGGAAAACATTATCGTCAAAATGTGTGCAGCACATAGTAATCCGCAACAGGGCTTCGGCTACACCTGGGGCTTCGCAGACAATACACGGACGGAGTCTGTATTAGAAATTCCGGCAAATATAAATTACACAGTCAGCAGCGAATCCGTAAGTGAGCAGAATTAAAAATTCGATTTAATGATTTCTTTTAGAACTAAATAGTATCGAGACGCGTTTTTTGCTTCGCTACCACCAATGTAATGTTTTCAAAACCTCGCTGTCTCAATTGGTGTCTGTGTACGAGACAACCCCCTCCCTGGATTTCTCACATTCATGAATACTCGTACACGTAGTGCGTGTACTTTTTGATATAAGTGCATATATATATGTACATATATGAATCTATACATACGATTTGTATGTACGTATATAAGGTGCACATGTGTGTTCCTTCTGTGCCTATACGTACAGATGATTGTGTGCGACTATACGTATACGATGTTTTATGTAACGCTACCTTTGTCGTTATCGGCTGCGGTCACACTTTGTCACATGCATGAGTAGTGGACATTGGCATTTGTTTTGCATTTAAAATGAGCTGCTGTTGATAACGAGCCAGGGGAGTGAAATAAATCTGATTCTAAAAATATACATTTTCTCCCATATATAAATTTATGCTTTGAATCGTGAATTAATTTTAAAATGGCGACTGTAAATTCGCCTCGTTTTGAGCAAATAGTGGCAGACAAGGCGAATTTATATAAATTCGCCTTGGCGGCTGAACGACGACGAAATTATCAACGCAGGGTTGCATTATTTCGTCTAATTTGCCGAATTTCGAGCGAAATCGTGCTGATGTTGACGGCATAGCATGCCGGGCATATCTTTTGCCAAGGTGTATTTAACATAAATACGCCTTGCTCTTTATTTCATTCAATAATGTATACATAGTGTATACATGTAATACATAGCTACATTGAAAGGCAAACATTGCATTTTGATATCTTTGGGATGGTACACACACAGCTTCAATTGTCGCGCTGAATTCACACAACGAAACGCATTGTTGGTTGTGTTGTGTATTTTGTATTGTCGAGTTTTTGGCGCAAAAATATACTGTCAAAAGTCGACCTGTGGAAAAGTTGCGCGCAGTACGGTTTGGCTTTGTATGCGTAAAAGGAGGTTTGTATTTGTTTGTTTACATTTTTATGTTGTAAGTTCTGATTGGCATGTTTGGTTTATAAGCTGTTGCTATTGTTAGGTGGTGGTGTGCACCTTCCATGATAACAGGTGGAACATGTTTAGGTCTAGCGCAAGCCAACCGGCAATTTAAGAGCTTGTCTGGTGGCAATGCAATATATTTCGAAAAGGCTGTCAAATTGAGAAATTTAAGCAAGCAGTTGGGCTGAGATTTCATATAATGGACCATTTCCAATATCACCCAAAGTATTACGAATTTTTTAATGAAATTTGCAGGGGGTTTTGAGGAGGTGCTCATTGANTTTAAGAGCTTGTCTGGTGGCAATGCAATATATTTCGAAAAGGCTGTCAAATTGAGAAATTTAAGCAAGCAGTTGGGCTGAGATTTCCTATAATGGACCATTTCCAATATCACCCAAAGTATTACGAATTTTTTAATGAAATTTGCAGGGGGTTTTGAGGAGGTGCTCATTGACCTATATCATCAACATTTTGTGTACAAATGCTAATAGTTTTTAAGTTATCCGTTGTTAAAATTTCCCCACTGCTTCACAATTATTCTTTTTATAAACACTGCACTTATCACTTTTCTTTTTATTAATACTGTATAGTATAAATACCTTGTTCTTTTATACCTGTACAATTTTTATATGTTCTGTTGTTCTTAGATTTTATTAGAATTTCTAAGTTTTTAAAATCATTAAAATAAGTCTTCAAATTACAAACAAAATGTTCTAATAAATAATTCAAAATTTTGAATAATAAAATTTTATCATGATATATTATCAGAGCTGGGTAAATGCAATTACATTACAATTACAATTACATTC